TGAAGGCATTAGGAGTGATACGTCTCAGCAACCACAGACTGGGCCGGGGGAACGTCCATCCATCCCTCAAAGACCCAATTAAAAAGCTGAGGGGGAGAGAAAAAAAGGGAAGCATCCAAATCTTCTGACATCATCATGAGGTTAAGTTCAACCCTTTTTTCTTTCCTTTTTTTTTCCAAGACAGCAGAGAGAAAAAAATTGATACCACTGCTGCACAAGCATTTCTGTGAGTTAATGGCTGACTGCATGCTTACTTGAATGCTTTGCTGCCTCTTCGCCCTGAACTCTGAGTGGAACGATAACATCAGGAAACTTTTTTTTAACCCCACTAGCTTTGGAATTAAAGACAGAAATGACTTTTTACACTGAAGAGTCCAGAGGCCTACACCACTACGTTTGGTAAAGCAATCTTTTTCCATTGTAAAACGCACCTGTGTGGACTTTGTGCATCGGTTAACTTACTCAAACTCTGGATTTGCATTTAGTGGATTTTTGATTATTGTAAACATGCAATAAAGCTAGACTAGGTCCCCACCCCAAAAAAAGGCCAATTTTGAACACATTCTACCTCAGAGAAAGAAAAGAAAACCTTAGGCTTGTCTTTACAAATCTCCCTCTTTCATTTCTCACATATGACTCTTGTAGGGGAATATTTGTATAAGACTCTGCTTTAAAGGCTGTTTTCAACCGCAGGCTGTAGTTTTATCCAGAGCAGTGTCATTGTAAGACATATCAAGCCTGTCCTTTTGCTGCCCTCCTGGCCTTGGGCTTAAAGTAATGCACGCCCACAGATTTTTATGAGTGTGAAGGGGAAAAAAATACCCCCGGGGGCACTGGGCCAATCAGTTAGGCTTGAGAGAAATACCCCAGGATGTAAACATTACACCACAGAGTGAGGCTGGGTCATGGCTCCTGGGTTTAACATAAGATGCAAGCCTCACTTGTTATGGGCCATCATAAGATCTGCCAAACAAGCAGGAGCACATCAGCACGGCCCACATATACCACAAGGACAAAAGGGTCGAGGAAACATTGTTAAGTTACCAAACACCCAGGTACGTGTCTTGTAAAAACTGAAATGATGATCATCCTTGTGTTATATTCAGGAAGACCTAAAGGTGAGACAAACTCAGTGCAGGGGTATAGACTCCTGACAGCTCTGTAAGAAAGCTTTGAGGACTGGGTTTGCATCAGACGACATGGCATTTACATAAAGGTATGAAGTAATCTCCCTCACTCTCTACGCTCTCCTCCCCTCCTCCTCCTCCTTTTTCCACTGACCGGCCTCACAGGAACACTGAAAATAACTTGACCGTCTCAGCAATGAGACTTTCAAGTCAGGGTTTTTCTGCGAGAGCCCTGTGCATATGAGAGGCATCCCGCCTATCAACTCAGGCCGGCGTGTTAAGTTCATCTACGGGGAAGAATGCATTAGGACTGTACACAACCAGGAAGTTGTTACAATCGCAAAACCAGATGTCTTCTTCTTTTTCTTTTTCTTTTTTTGTCTTTTTTTCTGGTCATAGCCCCAGACAGAGCTCTCACACCGGCGTGCTTTTTCAGCTCAATACCACCCCCTTGTGGGACTCCATTTAGTAGTTGGCCCACTGACATCCAAACGACTAAAATCCCAGTTGTTTTATCGTTTTCCCCCTCATAAGGACAGGGACCGTTTAAAATCCTACAGTCGTTCTGCCTAAAAAAAAGAAAAAGGAGCTTGTGTTTGGGGTTACTGATGCTAAAGTCTGACCGGGGTCTGTTTAATTCTGAGGCAATAAAGCTTCAGAAGCTGCTGAGAAACAACTGGACCAAAACATTCATGTATAAAAGCGTTTTCTTCCCCCACCTCTCTCTTTGTCCCTCAATTTTTGCTGCCAGTTTCAAAGTCCACAACATCTTTTTTGTTTTTAGCTGCACTCTGAAGCCAATCCAAATCAATAAGTCTTTTTTTTTAACAAGTCTAGATTAAAAATTAACACACTGTGTTGACGCCCTGTCATTACACACAGTTCTGCTGATTAAAAAGTTGGTGATACTCTGAAACGGGCCGTGGCAAAAGGATGCCAAAACATTATGCTGCCATTTAACATGCAGATAAGTTATTGTGTCTCCTTATTCAGGGACTTCTGATCAAATATATTTGCAAATCTAAAACTGACTGCAGTTTGGGCATCATCAAACGCCATTAACGTGTTTGGATGAGGAGTCCCTTTTTTTTTAAATATGGGTATTAAAAGCTTCCCATGTTGCCTTTATCTCCGTGCAGGCGCTGTTTAATTGCTCACCCAACAATTCCATATGGGCCTGTCTCAATGACAACCCATCTCTCACGCATATGGGCTCCGGTAAAATACCCCACTCTGAGGGAAACAATTAAGTCTGGCGCGTTTTCATTTTTAGTTAGCGAGCCGGATGAAATCAGCTGAGAGGGAGAGGGGGGGTGGGGGGGGGTTGAGGGGAGAAAAGGCATCATTCTTTTGCCTCGTTGTAAAGTAGTGTGATGGGCAGGCTGCTGGAAATGTGCTCTCCATCCCTCCCTGCCTCCTCCGGTGTGATGGCATTTGAAGCGCGGTGGGGCACCGCGAGCGGAGCGGGGCTTCGCAACGATGCGATACCCCCGTTTCTCAGCAAATATAGGCCAAGTGGTCCGAACTGACATTTGGGGGGAAACGTGACAGTCCCTCACTTAGAAAACACACCACTTTTGACACGCGAACACTGTTTATGGCGAAAATTTCTCGCGCTTCAAGGGGAGGGGGGGGGGAACTAAACGACCCTGTCCAAGACGGAGAGAAAAAATAGTCTGACACATCTTTCTTTATCAGACATTTTCTTCCTAATTATTTGAGTGCCGTCGGAAAGAGCTGTAAACAGCGGTTTCGGACGCGAGCGGGCACTGACAGACTAAAACTACCAGAGCCGAGCCGCTTCCCAAAGCCGGGCAATACGAAAAAGAAGTTAGTCGATGCCAATGACACGCTGTCATTAACTTAGCCTTGTTGTGAACAACTTGAATAGGCGGCGGTTTGACGGGGAAAACGCCAGCCCGGGAGACGGTGCCCGCGGAGCCCCGAGCACGCCGGCCGCCTGTCCCCGTGGCGTGCCCGAAATGTGGGCTATACGCTGGGAATAGTAGCTGGCTAGAATGCAAGCTAATATTAGCTGGCTAGTGATGTCTCCACGTTTGTAGCTGCCTATTCGGAGGCAAACAGCGGGGAGCCGTTTTTTTTTTTCTTTTGGCCGCGAAAAAATAAAATAAATTTCTCCCCGCTCGCCCTCGCGCTCGCGTCGTCTCCCCGTGCGCGGGAGTTGAAACGGTTCCGACATCACGCCGCGGTCGTACAAGTAAATTAATCCCATTATATTTCTCTTACCTTCCGGCTTGTTTTCGGCAGCCATTTCCCCTTCACGCGCAACATCCTCCTCCTCCTCACGACCGTGGGTACCACGCGCGTGCACGGCGAGGACAGCACGAGGAGGGACCGGAGGAGCAAGCGGCGAGTCGGTCCGACCGAGGAGAACTTACCATTGGCTGTGAGGCGGTGACTGACAGAGAGGCTCCGGGATGAAAAACAACACATCTGCCCTCACCTTGGCACCAGCAGCCTCCTCCCCCCCCCCCTCCTCCTCCTTTCTGCTCTTTTTTTCCTCCTTACCGTGAATTTAAAACAGCTCAGAAAGTCTAACAAGACGCTTTTGTTGAAAAGATAGCTTTAAAAGTGGAGAAGAAAAAAAGGACATTTAGATGGCTGGCTGCTCACTCCCTCTGGTATTAAGACAAAGCGTATCTCTTTTGGATGAAGTTGTTTGACATTGTCATTCCACACTCACTTTTTTATATAAGTCTCGTCAGATAAAACTGAAGGGATGATCGTCTATTCCATAAAGCAAACTGGTTTGCTGGAGGGGGAGCAGAATTTGCTAAGTCCAACGCCCCAATAATTCATAACAGTAATAAATGTCTAATTTCATTCTTAATTTAAAGGTTTCCTTCTCTCCTAACCCGTTCGACATAGTCAGAACGGGCCGTAGGTGCGTGTTGCTTCTTAGAAACTTATAAGTCAGACCCACCTTAGTACAGACGCATGTCTGTCAGTCAATACGTGTCAATTTAAGAGGCTTCATATTGATGCTTCCCCAGCCCCCCCTCTCCTCGGGACGTCTCTAACTGGACATCGTGGACCCATGCCATTACAGCATGCAGGGATTTCCAGGATGCTCCCCTCCTCTGGAGTGATCATTTGAAGGCTGGTGGCCATGTCTGTATGTCAACACATTCCCTTCAACTCCAGAACACTATTAGTGTTTTCAAGTCATTCCATTTTCATATCTCGTGTGTTTAGCAGATGTAGGTCAATGTCGGCGTGCTGTTAAATGGCACACTGGTCAGTCAGTGGCGTGGACAGCGCCCTTTACCAGGCTGCTTTCCTCCCTGTAGGAAGGCAGCGCAGGGTTGGAGGTGATGGTGCTGAAAGAACAGCTCCTCTGCTGCTGCGCAGGAGCTCTGAGCCAGTTTACAGACAGCGAATGATTATAATAAACCAATAAATGACTTGATGCAGTTAAGGGATTTTTCTCCCCCTTACCTCAACTGCTTCTAGTTGCATATTGCGCAGTCAATATTCCCTGTAGGCATAAAGCACACATGCTTCCCCAGTATAAACTATTTTAACGTTCTAGATTTATACGTTAAGATAAAGATTTAATTTGAAAATAACATGACCACCTTATTTCTCTGAAATTTTAGCGCCTCAGATTGTTATTATGAACAATTCAAATAAAAGCGAACAAAAGTCGTTTTATGTTGTTTGGGATGATAGTAGGATGCAATCGATAATCTTCCTCTATAGTTCTAAATACCAACTAACAGCTTTAACCTCCCTCTCTGCTTTTGTTCGTTTGCTTTGTTTGTTTGTTTTGTTTTTAATGACATTTCTAGGTTATAATAATCGAAAAGCCTATTCGGGGTTGTCCCTCATTCCCAACACAAGCGGGCGCACGGAAGACTTTGAGTGACGTAAATGACACGAAGAAGAAATGACCGGGCGTAAACATGGCGTCTGCCTTGGACGAAGATGAGATCTGCAATGATGACTACTATTCCCTGCTAAATGTCCGACGAGAGGTACAGTTTAAAGCTGTGGTGTGAATGAGTATCCGTGCGGATGCGTGTAGCAGCAGTTCTTTGAATACCCATCGGTTGTTATTCGGCGGTAGCTCCCAGAATAAGTTGTAACTTTAGCTAGGTAGTTAGCTTGTGACCCTCGACATTGATTAGTGTGCAGTGACACTTCGGTGAGTTCTTAAGATGCGCCGCAGGTTGCGGGGTTACAGCTTTGTCATCGTGAGATGTCTTTTGTGGAAATAATATATTGATTGGTCTGTTGTTTTGGTAATTTGCGGCGTAGTGCGAGCACATCGACAACTTATTTTCTATGCAACACTGATGTAATAGTTTGTGCTAAGTAGCTAGTGCTACAACTGAAACTTGATTCAAAGCCCCATCTTAAAGTTTGTACTAAAAAGATAACCTTGTAGAAGCGAGTCTCTATTGGTGTGAATACGTTTAATTTGCCTCACTTATTTATTTGCAGTATAGAGAAGAATATTGATCTGCATGCTATTTGAACCAGTTAAGCCATGTGTTCATGTCTCACTAATGAGTTGATAGTTATACCGCACATCGAATGGTAACTGAACGTCACATTTTTCAAATGAAAGCGGCACACTGATAATATCTGCATAAGCATTCAATATAAAGTAAATTATCAAAAGATCCATATTTGAACTATTAGGCAAAGAGGTATTGTTTTCGATGTAGTTTACTCTCAATTTCGGTTGTTGCATTAGTAAACTGTTAAGCAGCAACGGTGATCATTTTTGTGTATTTGATAAAGTCCCTTCACATTGTTATCTTCTGAAATTCAATGGTTTCTCCCAGGCTACCCAGGAGGAGCTGAAGGCAGCATACCGGCGACTGTGCATGCTGTATCACCCAGACAAACACCGGGATCCTGAACTAAAGAGACAAGCAGAGCAGCTTTTTAACCTTGTACATGAAGCATATGAAGGTAATATAGCCTCTCCTGTTGTAGCAGGAAATGTAATTAATTAAATGTGGCTTCTATTATTTTCTGGTCTTCTCTACAGAATTCAGAAACAATTAAAGAAAGCAAATACTCACTATCTCAATTAATGGTTATCTCTATTCAGTGCTTACGGACCCACAGGCACGAGCCATCTATGATATCTATGGCAAGAGGGGACTTGATGTTGAAGGATGGGAGGTGAGTGTGTCAGTCAATCCAGTGGATTCTTGGATGGCAGCTTTTTATTCGTATCAAGATTTGTAGTATTTATTTTCTTTTAAATACTTTTTTTCCCCATCAAAATTATCCCTCTTGATTATTCGCATCCATGTGTCTAGAATTTTATTTGAGGAATTGAGAGAAACTTTGTATGCCATTAAGATGCATGAAGATAGCTAATGAAATGGTATTTTCAGCTAAATTGATATCTTGACCACACAACCTAGCACTATGTTGATTCCAACCTGGCATGTTGGTATTTTATATTTTTGGTTGATTTGCGTCAATTTGAATTCTCCACCCACAGGTGGTGGAGAGGAAAAGAAGCCCTGCAGAGATTCGAGAAGAGTTTGAGCGGCTTCAGAGGGAGCGGGAGGAGAGAAGGCTTCAGCAAAGGACCAACCCAAAAGTGTGTATAACTCAACTTAAAAACCCTTACATGAGCTTAATATGACAAACGAATCACGTGTGGATCTGGCTCCAGTGTTATTGAACGTTTTTCTTCTTGACCAATTTGCAGGGAATGATAAGTGTGGGCATTGATGCCACAGACCTTTTTGACCGATATGAAGAAGACTATGAGGATATGGGCGGGGGCGGAGTCCCACATGTTGAAATCAACAAGATGCACATATCACAGTCTATAGAGGTGATTCATAATGTTTGTTACATTCAAGTGTGCAGTGATAGCTGTTAGGAATAAGGCCAGAACTACTACTCACACAGCAGTATGTGTTCCACTGAAGGCTCCCCTCACGACAAAAGACACGGCCATTCTTTCTGGCTCTTTGTCAACCCACAATGGAAATGGAGGTGGCACCATCAACTTGGCATTGAGAAGAGTAACCTCGACAAATGGATGGGGCGAGGTATGGGATCGTGGTAGCTCTGCCCATTTTGTAACAAAACATACAACATTCAACATCCACCCCTTGTCGTCTTTCCAGGTTGAGTTAGGAGCTGGAGACAGTCATGGACCTCTCTTTGGAATGAAAATATTTCGCAACTTGACGCCCCGATGGTATGTGCAGAAACACAGGAGACGCATCAGTGCTCTGGATTGTGAACATTTGAAGGATGGCTTTGTATTTTGTATTTTTTGCCCTAGTTTTGTGACGGCTCAGTGTGGGCTCCAGTTTTCATCCCGAGGCGTGCGTCCAGGGGTGACCACAGTGCTGGCCCGTCACCTTGACAAAAACACTATGGGCTATTTGCAGTGGCGTTGGGGAATCCATTCTTCTATGAACACCAGCATCGTGAGGGACACCAAAAGCAGCCATTTCACGCTTGCAGTCCAGGTCAGCAGCCAGCAATTTTTTTTTCTTTGTTTTGATTTTTTCCCCCGCTCAATATAGTACCTCTAAATCAACATCTGCTTGTCACTGTTGTGCCAAAACGGTCATTTACCTTTTTTTTGTCTCGGCAGCTTGGCATTCCTCATACTTTTATGATGATGAGTTACCAGTACAAGTTCCAGGATGACGACCAGACGAAGATTAAGGGCTCAGTAAAGTATGTTGTCAAAATGAAATATAACTTATTGTGATGTCATCGTAAATTCAAATTGAAAGGTCTAAATCAAGAGCTGCCTGACCAGGCCACAACAAATGCAGCCATCAAAACAAAGCAGAGAAGCTCTGGTTGAAAAGACCAGTTCTCCTCTGTGGGTGTACTCGGGTTTTTAGTACAGAAATGTGAGACTTTATGAAAACTTTTCTATTACGTTTTTTGGTGTTGAAATCGACACATAGAGATGAGGTGACTCTGTTGTTCTGTGACAGATCAGGTTTCTTTGGGACTGTGGTTGAGTACGGTGCTGAGAGGAAAATCAGTCGTCACAGTGTGCTGGGGGCCACTGTCAGCGTGGGGGTGCCCCAAGGCGTCTCCCTAAAGATAAAGTAAGTGCAGCTCCTTGCTCCAGTTTCCTATGTCGTTTTTCCAAAACAGCTTTCACCACAGCACCCTAAGGAGTCAAGACATGACATCATGTTGCCCAATCAAACTCATTCAGATGCTTAGACACTTTGGAAAGGGTTTCAAATTCAGTCAGGACTTTACAAAGTTGTATTTGCCGAAGAACTTTCTGTCCTTTCTTTTGGCAGATCATTTCAACCTACCAGCTCTTACTGGGAATAATAAAATCTCTTCTCTTTATCTCGGCAGACTGAACAGAGCAAGTCAGACATATTTTTTCCCTATTCACCTGACCGACCAGCTCCTGCCCAGCGCAGTATTTTATGCCACAGTTGGACCACTGATTTTTTACCTCGCCATCCAACGGCTCGTTATTCGGCCCTATGTGCGGGCCCAAAAAGAAGAGTAAGACTCCCTCTCTTTATGTTATTAGAAATAGCATTGCGTGCATTATGATCATTATCATCTGCAGCACCGGTATTGTTAGCCAATTCCATTTCTCCATTTTTTATTTATTCCTACATTTCTTTCAATTCAACAGAGACTTGGAGAAGCAGAGGGAGAGTTCGGCCTCTAATATAGCTAAGAAGAAACAGGAGGCAGAGGCTGCTGTGAGTATTTGATGGGGTTTTCATTCCCGTTACATTAATTCATTTTAGATTAGAAATATAAGGCTTTACATTTGACTGTCAAGAATTTTTAATTCTGCCAATTTCTGCAATAAACTGCAGAGTATCAGTGAAATGCATTAGTTGACTCCATATGATGAGAAATGTCCTTGTTTTTGCCTCTTATTTTGTGTTCCCTTCTTTCATCTCTAAAGGTGATGCTCATGCAGGAGTCTGTGCGCAGGATTATTGAGGCAGAGGAGTCTAGAATGGGTAAGAACTGTGAAAGCAAAAGGTTAGCTTATCTCACAAATAGTTTTCTCTCGAACATAGGTCGCTTTCTGCACACCGGGGCTCCTCTCAGTCTTCCCCACATCAGCGATGGCATTTGTAATTCTCGGGAGATTAAACAGTGATGTTGAAAGGCAAACTTAGCACAGTGTCTGACATAAGTTAATAGCATCGTGCACAATCAATACACAAAAATTTGTTCCAGCCTGTACAAAGCCCATTATTTCACATGACTAACAGCAAGAACCATTTATAGCGAATCCACCGCTGTCTTTCACTGTCGGCAGCCAGCTAGCATCTTTATTCGATCTATGACTGGGGGCAGTTGTACATACACTGTTCACTAAAGTGAACCGTTAGGATTGCATAACTGTACAGAAACGGTCTCTAATAATCCCAGTTATCAGGTGGTGGTGGGTGTTCTCCCTCCACATGTTCTTGGTGTTTTGAAAGTGTTGTTTGTTTTCAAGAGGCTAAGATGACTAATGAGAATAGATCGTGACACGTTGATTTATCTGTTCCCTCGCTGTCATCACTCTTTCCTCCCTTCTTGTGCACCCGTCGGTTGCGCTGATCGGCCAGAGTTATCCGTCTCCGTGGACAACCTGACTCCGGTCCAACATGTCGAATTGGCAGGGAGAAAAACAAAAGGGGCCTGAAAAGTTGTGTGATGAAAGACTCTGGATTCTCACTCTTGAGTTTTATTGCACTTACAATAATGAGCAAAGCAGTCATCAACTCCCAAAGAGAATAACTGTTCTTTTAGGCCCTGTCCGTCAGGAAATGAGCAAAAGCCGAAAATCCAGAATAGGTTTTAACACATTAGCCGTTCAGACGCTGCAAAAAGAACTTACTGTAGGTTCCAAGCATGGGAGGTTTTTAAAATAAAAAAAATTAAAAAGTGGATAGTTGTTAAGCTTCCATGTGAATGCTACTATAACCGGCTTTAGAAGATTACCATCACACTGTGTGCCTGCTGTTTGCCATCCAAGACAGAATCCAGAAAAATTGCATATTTGTTTTGAGAATATAGAAAAAGAAATGTAATTTTGAAAAAAAAATCTGGGTTTAGGCCTCATCATCCTCAACGCCTGGTACGGCAAGTTTGTGACAGACAACAGCAGAAAACACGAGAGGGCAAAGGTCATCGATGTGACGGTCCCACTGCAGTGTCTGGTGAAAGACTCCAAACTCATCCTCACTGAAGCCACAAAGGTAAGGTATCCTGACCAAAGTTAAAAAATATTAAAGCCAGTGCAACGTAGAAAGCTGTAAATAAAAATGCTGCTCTGAGGCAGATTTAGCAAGTTTGCCCGGTGACGATTCCGTGCTCTGCCGGCGCATGCCATTAATTCGTCTTTCCAGTCAGGACTCCCTGGCTTCTACGACCCCTGTGTGGGGGAGGAGAAGAGCCTGAAGGTGCTGTATCAGTTCCGTGGAGTCATGCATCAAGTCCTGTCAGGAGACACCGAACCGCTCAGGATACCAAAGCAATGTAAGCGTCTTCAGCGGCATAGCAGCACGTGGGAGCTAAGCCGCGCTGTCGCCACTCCATCACATTGTGCTTAATGTTGCATTTCCTCTCTGGGGCGGCCTGTAGTTTACCTGATGTCTCCGTTGTGTTTTTGCCACACAGCTCATAGGATTGACACAGACACATAGGGGTTTGTCTGCTGACCAAAAACCTCATCTCTTGACTGTTGGACAGAAGATGAAGAACCTCTGTTTTAGATACGACTTGGATTGAAGTCTTTATTACTCAGAAATCATGCATTTTCCTGTTTGTCTTTATGTTCATTCAAAATGCAAAGCGGAGAAATATCAACACAGACTGGATCCATCAAAACCACTGTCCACGGACAGGGTTGCGGCCTGCTAATGTGACAAGAAAATCAATGGCTACCATCTGATTCAGGTCTTCTAGCCTCCTTGGTACCCATTAATTTTTGTTATTGCTTGTCATTTCTAAGAGTCCTATGTACTGTATTGTACAATAGCTGCAGTGCCTGTTTGATCAAAGAAATGAAAGCAAATGTCTATTTGCCATATTATTAAAGTCTCTCTCAAGTTTGTCTGTTTTTTTTGTAAAATGTTTGTAATGTCAAGTAAAGGTAAACTAAGGTTTGTTTTAAGTTAACATATGTCCCGCTGACTGATGCTACTTGTCTGTAATATATTTCACAGAGAAAGGGAACAGCTGAACCGTGAAAAATGTGAGTGATAATGTGAACTTGGCTGACAATGAAAGCAGCTGCTGATGATAAAATAAAGATCGTATCGTTCGGCTGATTCAACAGAGCTTAAGACTTGGCTCGGCACGGCCAAAGGGACTTGTGCCTAAGCTGAAATGAAGGCGGCTACAAACTTTTAGCGATCCATCCATCACGGGTTGCATGTTGGGGGTTTTCCCACATGTGATGACACTGCAGAACCGATCCCAGCAAAAGATTTATTTTTGTATGAATTGCCAAATAATGACAAGATACTTTATTATAATTAGTCAATCAAAGGTTTCTGGAGAACTAGTGCCCCCATCTCTACCTGTAAGATATATTAGTCTTCAGTGAGGAGCAGGAAAACCAGACGGCAGATTTATTCTCCTGTTGAAGTATCAAACATGAATACATGTGCAGTCTACAGTGGTGTTCCTGGGCAAAGAAGGGAAAGACAGGGCCAGACTGGCCCTCTGGCCTTAAGACACACACCACTGAATCAGAGCCCACCAACCTGGTGCCTCTAAAAGGCAAACTGTGGATCAGTTTGTCACGTCTGAGCCCCAGTCCATTTGGAATATGTGTGCAACAGGCACCACAACCAGACAGTTGTTGATAGAGAAGGCTGCAAGCAAGTTGGATCTTTGGCATTTGCAGAGAGGGGAGCCCTGGTTGCCCTCTCCTGTGATGTCTCAGCCACTGGGAACAATAATTTCCCCTTCTTTATTTCCTCCAACGGAACTTCAACTTATACAAAGCCAGTTTGAAGTCCTCTCTTAGGATACTGCACTGCCAGTAGGTTTCACATTTCTATCTATTATTGCTCTGCATCTTTTGGCACAGCAAAGAACACCTGACCCAACAAGCTGGACAACAGTTGAGAAAATGCTACTAAGAATATATGAATATTTAGAAGCATCATTGATGTTTAAGAATGTGAAGGGGAAAAAATAATACTCTCCTAAAGCAATGGCCGAAAATTCTGCAGAAAACTCATTTTCTTTATTTAATATTTATGTATAGTCTTGCAGAAGAAATCCCCTAATGACATACAATGAAACTGACTCCAAAAGAAGGGTGAGCTGGATTTTTCGACCGGTGCACACCGATATTTTAATGGGTAAACTAATCTAGGAATAAATGGAAAATATTATATTTCTATAAAGCCATTGTCGAATACATATAAACAACACCCAAGCCATATGTTTTCTGCGTGTCGAGAAGACAGACTTGTTTTCCTTACAGAAGCCGCGGAGCAACATTTCCAGCTCCGCGCACGCACTTTTTGTTGGGCGGAGTGTTTCAGGAAAAGCAACGAGCACAACCTTAATCATCTGACGGGGAAAAATACGTCAGGACACTGGAGACACACAGAGTGGTCCTCTTCTTTATTTACTTTCATTTTAACACCTAGTGTGGACTACAATTGCTTAACGGGTGAGGTTATAAAGTGTACGTGTCGCATTAAGCCTCAATGTTTATACCAATCGTTTTCAAGTCTGACTCCGCTTCCGTGTTGACAGACATAGTCACATAGACTAAGAAACCAGTGCCATATTCCTGGTATTAGCTTTTTAAACCATACACGTGGTTTTCTCTACTGAAGGTGGGATGTGACGTGACTCATAACGCAACACTGGCAGCAATAAATCTTTCCAGCCGGGGGTTCTACCAGATATGAAGAGGAAGTCTAGAGCCATGGGTGCAACTGCAACTACGGCTTCAACTGCCGGTCCGAGAACGTCTTCGGCCACGCCTGGGTCAAGCTTGGGTTTAAGTCGACTCGTAAGCACTTCTTCAATTTTTAAATACGAACGCTGTCTATGATTTTTTTCTTCAGCCAACTTCCAGTGCTCTGGTCTGGTGTTTGGTGTTGTCTGGTGTAGAAATCGATAGAGGAGCTAGCCAAACACACAACAACGTAATCGTTCTATAAAAGCACACACGTTTGAATTATTCGATTTAATTTCCATACATTAAACTATAGGTTACAGTTTCATATTATTTATCTCTGTCTCTCTCGTCCCCAACAAGCAAGAGAGGGTCATAAGAGCCTTTGCTTCCTAGTAGTTCTCGATTTGGAAGGAACCATGTTTCCCATGCATGAAGGGGTGTTTGTGGGTGTGCGCCTATAATACCTCAAAACGGATCAACCAAAACAGACCCTTTGTAGAAAACGGTTTGTATTGATCCAAAATAAACACTAATTGATACTTTGTCATTTAGCTTATTTCACGGATGTCATATGTAAAAAGTACTAGAGGGTAATTAAACCGCCCCTGGATGAAGGTTCACGAACGGTAACTGCCACGGTTTGTCCTTCGTACTGGACACACACATATTCAAAAACAGAAACCACAGAGAATAAATGTGAGGCTGAGTGAGATACAGTTTTTTTGTATTTTAACTGTTTTTTCATGTTTTTTTGTTGTTATACTAGGTTTGTTTTTGTTTCGTTTTTATTTAAGCTGACGTAGTTAAAAGGTGTTGCGATTGTGTAAACAATATTGGACATTGAACCAACACCAGAGTTGGAAAAACTGAACCAATGAGTCCAAGCCTCAGCACATCTGTGCATCTGTTCCTGTTAGGACTTTCCTCTCCCCCTGGACATCCTAGAAGAAATCTTCCTGCACCTCCCCCCCCATCAGGTGGTTTGTGTTTGTCGGTTGGTGTGCCATCAGTGGAAAGAAGTTGCTGACAGTGAGTCTTTCTGGAGGGAAAGGTGCAGAAGGGAAGGATACAAACTACCTGCTGCTTCTAAAACACCTGATGACTGGAGGTTGTTTTATTTCTTGTGCAAGAAAAGGAGAAATCTGCTCCTCAATCCACGAGGCGAAGGTCAGTGGCTTAAGCCTTAGTAGAGGTTGTAGTGGCAATTGTTTTCTAGCCAAGCAGCAAATGAACTTCACTGATTTCTGCCTCTCAAAATATTTTTTGCAGAAAACATGAGCGGTTGGAAGATAATGGAGAATGGCGGTGATCAATGGAAAGTAGAGGGTGTTATGGAGCCACATCCTAATGAGGCAATCAAGACCAATTTTGTGACTTCTTATGGGTAGGTACTTCTGAAGGAATAAAAAATGAATTTGTGTTTTCACAGTCATTCCATTGATAAACCCTAACTTTCTGTCAAATTCTTTCTCTTGTCGGCAGCATGTGCAGAAAGTCACAGACAATTGATCTGGTGAAGGAAGGTTACAGCCCTTCATTCATGGATACCTTCCAGCCACAAATAAGAATTTCAGACTGGTGAGAATACACAACATGTATTTCATTAGCTGGTGGCGGAGTCAAATTCATAGCAGAGACAATCCACATGCAGGCAGACTTTAACATAGAAAAATCTTGCAAATGACCTCTGCTACCTAAATGGACACAAGAGGCAATTTAGTGCTTAAGAACATAAGAAACTACCTCCCACGCCTTTCATTTTCACACAGTATCTTGACACACTGATTTAAAAAATGATATTTTCACTTACCTACTGTTAGGTATGCACCTCGATGGGATTGTGGCAGCGAATATACAATCTTTGTGCAGCTGCTGAGTCACAAGAAGAAAGTGATTGCTGAATTTACTCCTGATAAGGTTTACTTCCCACAGTGGAGTGATCAGAAGTGGCATCAGGTATGTGTTGAACGTGAAGCACAAGACAACAATTCACAGGAGAATGAACATGCTCAAGGAAAGGTCTCTTTTTCTTTCTATTTAGATGACCCATGTATTCAAAGACTACGGGCCAGGAGTCCGATACGTCCAATTTGTCCATGGTGGCAAAGATCAGCAGTTCTGGGCTGGATGGTATGGCATTCGTTTAACAGAGAGTAGCGTTGAAGTATGTCCAGCAATAGATTTGTAGCTCATCAGAGATTCATTCGGTCCCTGTGATACACAGCAGCTTTGAATACTGCACGTTATGTGACCGGAATACACATCTCATTTGTTGGCTTTCGCAGCCCTTTTCTGTAACAACCATCCTGCTAGATTTGAATAATTACATTACCTGAGACAGTTAAAGGGGATACTTATCCATATTAAACAGGGGAATTTATCAGATTCCCATATTTAATAACCTGGAATTTTCCAACATAGTGGATTCACTACTGAAGAAACTGCCTCATTTTTATAAATCAGTGTGTTCCACTTTTAACATCGTAATTTCTGAACATGTTATTGACTCCATTCAGCCATCCAACCTGACCAACTGCAGCTAATGTTAGAAAAGGCTTTATGTTTTGTCCCAGCGAGTTGTCCTGCCTCTATTTATTCTCCTTTGTAACTTGTATTACCTTAAGCAGCATGACCTGCTGTCATTTGTATCCTCAAATTACGCTGAGATTATTAGTGAATGACATTTTATTTTATTACAATTCTATTCCTGCACTATACAACTTTGTTCATGTGGATTTTTAGAAGCAGAACAATTAGAATATGTTTATTAAATGAGAACTGTGTATCAAATACGCTAAACATATATGTACACTTGTGCTAAGATTGTATTATCTGCAGCCTACATTGATGCCCAGACTTTAAATAAATGAATACCACTGAGAATTGATTAATGCAATTGCTTGTATGTGTATTGCTGTTTAGAATGACCACATTTTGAATTCCATTATTTGTTTGTATTAACCTATTTACTGTTACCCTTATGTCGTATATGAAAACGCACATAACCTCAGGGCCAATTTTTATACCCATTAAACCACAAAACATGGGAAGATTTAATAATACTGGTTTATTGTGGTGCTTTCATACAAGCAAGATACAGTACAACTTTGTCAAAGTGAATAAAAATCAAAGACAAAAGTTTCCCTGGTGAATTTGAGTTCAGTCTCTTCTGAGCTTCTTTAAACCTCATTAGTGATGCACGTTACACTCAGTAAATAAGTTAATCTTTCTATATTTACAGATCAAATTCAAGCCCTCACCTTATGGTAGGCATTGATGTAGAAGGCAAATGAAAAACCACTGACTTTTGTCAATTAGCAAATTCTCAAAATATCAACGGTGCATTCAGGATCCACAATGGTTAGTAAGCCTGGCATTTCCTGCAGACAAACAGACTTCTGTTCATCAAGACTTTGATCACCACCAGAAAAAATAAAATCTCCAATTACTTTCAAACAGTACTTTGTGCCGGGTGACTTGAATACTGGCAGTTTCTGTGGTAACAGACATCCAAATCACTAATAATTTCTCAGGGAGGACTGGATGTGGTCTATTGTATTAATGTTGAACTTGTGTCTGGTGTAGCCTCATATGGGTCATTTAGAAGATAAGCATTTTAGAATTATGTCATATTACCTGGAGGCTCTGCTGGAAATAATGTAATAATTCCATAAAATTATTGGAAAGACACTGGCTGCATGAAAAATGGTCAGGAAAACACTCAATTTCTCAGCACAAACTGATTATGGATAGTATGTGCAGATTAAGCCAAATTTAGCTTCGTTTATTAAAAAAACAACTGTTCTTTCGGAAAAACACTTCCACAAATAATACTGATCCCACCATGATCTGGTCAAGCAAACATGTCAGAAATCTCTTCTATTTGTTGAATATTTTAGCAGCTTCAAATGAGCCCATATAGCATTACGGTTACAGAGTTGCAAAGTCATTCAACACATTATATGTTTAGCGCTTGTGTCAGTGAGAAGGCTAATATTTGTTGTTTAACTCATGCTGGAATGTAGTGGAGAAAACCTCTTCAGTACTGTTAATCTAGATTTGGAAAGTGGTGTGAAGACGAGCTTATAGCAGAGCACATTTACGCCTTTTCTTAGGTTCTGGGGGTTCCAGGGCAGCCAGTATTGCTTCATCAAACACATTCTTTAATCCTTTCTGTGGAAACAAAACGTTATCATTATAAAGAAAGCTACCACATACATCTGATTATCCAGTGGAACTAAACGCAAAAGGAAGCCTAGTAGAGATAGAGCAGGGCAATCAAATATTTTTCCTTTATTCAAATAACATACAAGATTCTCCTGATGATCAAGTTGTCTGGGTAAAGGCAAAAGCCAATCATAAATAGGATGCATTAGAAGAAAAAGAAAAGTTATTACTGGGAACAGAGAGTAGCTTAAATGCTTTTTTTAAGGATACAGTCGATGATCTTAACACTGACAAATAACAGAATGTCCTTAAAAAAAAACAACTCAGTCCTGTACAGTTACACTGGCTTTTGCACACAGGGTGCAGACAACAGAAAGAAGAATCTAAGATTGGCACTCAATCATCATCTTAGCAGCATGGATGATGGTGATTAGGCAAATTTGAAAAGAAAGCACACATGAACAGAGGGGGAGTTAATGGGCACAGAGTTGTAAAGTTTAAAAGAGCTTATGGTTACTTAGGTGACAGACTCTTCTTGACAATTAATAAGCAGCAGATGACCGAGAGGCAAAGCAAGATGCGAGGAGACATCAGAACAAACAGCATTTTCTCTTTCTCTGAGTTTCGGGGGGCTCTAAAGCAGCTAGGATAGCCTCATCAAAAACGTTCTTCAGTCCCCGCTACAGAAAAAGGAAAAGAAAGGAGAAACGGGTACACACACAGTTAGATGGAGTTATTAGCCACACTCTGTTAGCATCAGGCAGGGCGGAGCATTTTCAGCTTCGCTGTTGGGAAAATGTTAAGCACACACGAGCCGGACGCCTCACCTGAGTTAGAGCTGAGCACTCTACGTATTTGACTGCTTTCAGGTCGCGAGCCAGCTTCTCTGCTGTCTCTGGGGTGATTGGCTTCTGCTTGTTCTTTGCTAATTTCTCTACTGTGGAGGGGTCATCGCGAAGGTCAATCTGGGTGCCTACCAACAGGAACGGGGTCTTGGGACAGTGGTGAGTTATTTCAGGGACCCACTTCAGGGGAGAGAGAAAAAACAAGTGAAACATAACTTAGATTGTTTCTCAGAACATTTAACCACTTATATATGTATCCAGAAAGCCTGTGACAAAACCACACATGTTTAAAATTCTTTATATTATTAAAATTCCTGTGGAATAAACATGCCAGTAAGATATATTTAAAATAAGGTAATGAATTTTGGACTCAAGAGTGTGCAAAGAGCTACTTTTGGATGCCACTTCTTGGTAATGCATTTTGCGTTACTCTTTTCCATTCTGGATTAAACTTAGAGATCACTTCATGCTCAACTGATTGACAGCAACTACCATAATGTTAATGTCTTTTATCGTGTTTGTGTTTTACACGTTCAATTAACTGGAAATCGAACCTCTGAAAACACACCTCAAGGATTAGATAACTTTGCATGTATAAAACCAAACCAGATTCAAATGGGCCCGATTGTTCCCAAGCATTCATTTTGGAACTTTATGTAAAAAACAGCAATGCATAACATAATTGTTGATCTGCTCTCAACTGACATCAGTTATCGTAACAACTGCTGCTCTGACTTACCTTTTCTTTGACATTCTCGAATGAGGAAGGTGAAACGACTGAGAAACAGACTAGGAAGACATCAGTCTGAGGGTAGCTTAGTGGCCGTAACCTGTCATAATCCTCCTGACCTGTGGTGAGGAAAAACAAAAGACATGTATCATCATCAGGCTTAACAGTATCTGTTCTAGATCAGTGCTTATTTTATGTTGGCACATGAATATTTGCAAAGCTAAGGCATAAACCTCTGATCGCTTACGCTTGGGAACTACACAGCATGAACACATGAACACTGTCAAACGGAGTTCAATTTCTTTAAGTGAAGGAAACAGCGGTGACCATAGTCATTAATAAGGATGCATCAAATTATCCAAGTGCATGGGAAGCTCCATGAGATGAGATAGGCTGACCCATTACTTGTGCTAATTGACATCACCGTGGTGGTTATAAGAATGGATGTGAGGAGATTGTGTGTGGTCTAAAAGCAAGACTTTGGAGGAAAAAGAAACGAAGCCACATACAACCACATAGTCAGCCAAACAGGTTCTATGCCACAGTCTAAGTCAGTTAGATATGGTTACACACTTGCGGGTATATCTACAGGTACGCATGTGTGTTTTATGGAAAACAATCTATTAAACCTCAGTTGGAAAATAAGGTAAAATCGAAGAGTGAAAACACAGTCATACCTGCGGTATCAAACAAGCCAAGGGTGTATGGCTCACCCCCAATCATTACAGTTACTGCATAGTTGTCAAACACCTGCAATCAAACATGCCACCGTTAAAGAGTATCTCTCAGTCATTGTGTTTTGTTAAAGAGGATCAGTTTCACCAATAATAAGAAGAAATGGGGCGGCTAAACCAGAAAGAGCCTCTTACTGTTGGTACATATTCAGAAGGGAACTTGTTGGTCGTGTACGAGATCAGTAAGCAGGTCTTTCCCACTGCTCCATCACCCACCACAACACACTTAATAGTCTGCATGTTTGTGCTTTCTGCTGCTGGCACTTCTGCTAGCTGTAGAGAGAGGGGATAACAGCTCGGGTAGATTAAGCCATTTCACATGTAAAAATAAATAAATACAAGGCGAGAACAATAATGAAATATCATCCCCATGTCATGCCCCCCTCTGCCACCAGTACTACTAATGACAGTTTGACGAACAGGTGGAATTCAAAGGTAAGCCTGCCTCTTTGCATCACCATTTCAGTCACACCCCATCACCACCACAGCTCCCTCCAGCTAACGTTAGCTAGTGACAACGTTTCCCACAAACTCCCCCGCTGTATTATCTTAAGTGGAGTGCTTCGGAATAGGTTAATGGGTTGCAAACAAAACATGCCAAACGTGTGCTTCGAAGAAGAAGCAGCGGCGACGAAGATGTGTTTGTGTATCGTAAAACAAACTCTGCTATGCGGTGCTAGCCAGCCCAAAATACGACGCTAGCCAGTTTAGCAAACACGAGCTAATGTTAGTTTGGAAATTAACGCGTGGCTGCTGGTAAAGTTCGCTGAGCAAAGCGAACCCCCCGCTCCCGAAGTCAGCTCGTATTCGTCTGTTAACCTGTTGTGGATAAAGCAATGTCTGAGCTACGTACCAATGTCCCTCTGTATCTCTGCTTGCTAACGTTAGCTGTGTATTTCGCCGGGCGTTGGCACCAGCAAGCAGAAACTTGGTTCAGTCAGCCAGTGAGGAGCAGACTCCCGACTTCCACTCCAACAATTAAGCTACACCGGATATTGCTTTCAAAGTAAAACCACCACAATTCACGAACGAAGCTAAATTGTCTCCTTTTTTTTTTACATGTTACATGTCAAACCATACGTATGCGGTTAAGAACGGAGTGCTAAGTTATTGCCTTGAGCTTCATTGACTCGTTTAAAGTTTTTATCGTGAATTGGAGTGGCTCCTTTTATTGTGTTATTTAAAGAATGATTCTTCTCTGCGTATTTCGGGTCGCTTGATACTGTTTTTTTCGAGCGGTTCCTGCTGCAGGAGCAATGATGTCATCTCCTCAATTCCTGTGTGATCCTTATTCCCCTGAGTCCAGACTGGCCCGCTGAGCTTTAAAGTGCATCTTTACAGAGCAGAACGACTTTGGACGCAGTACCCCCTCACTTAGGAATTTGGCGAAAAGCCACGGCAAAAGTTCTAGAAACATGCTGGTTGACCAAAACGAGCTTAGACAATTACTACATAATGTAAACACGCTCCTCAATTTTTTATATAGATACCCGGAGGACACCCTGTGAGAAACAGTCTTTAATTAAATTCATCACAACATTGCATACATCCAGCAAATCAATGCAACAATTACAGCAAACAAGACAAATCCTGCCTGAGAACATTCAGAAAACAGCAAGATTATTGCATTAGATTGCAGAGGTGTACGCAGTATTAACAAACATGTAGGAAAATGCCACAATGTGGTTGTCTTGAAAGACTTACGGGCACAATTCAGTCCAACTTTACTCAGCTATAAGAAACAAAATAATCACATTTTTCTGACAAGGATCAGTAATTATAATGGCCAACTCCTAGAGAATACCTGACTGTAAACATTTTAGAAGCAATTTGAAAGTAATTAACTTGCAACTGGAAGTCATTGCTGTTTATGATTCAAACACACACCGTGAGGCTATTTCACATCATTCAGGCCAAGAAACAGAAGTCTGTGCTGTTGAAAAAGTGTTAAACAATGCTGAGAGGAAGAAACTGTCTAGTTTAGTGGTTAATCCATAATGCCCACAAAAAAGAGCAAAACAAACCAATGATTACCTAATCTGTTCACTTAAAGCCAGTTAAAACCAGGTCAGCAGTTTTGTTCATCGAAGTTGTTTGGTTATTGAAAAAATGGGCTACAAGTTATCTTACCAACTAGAAAATTGAAAGAGGAATGAAGAATCTTATCAGTTTGGTACAAAAAAGAAAAGAAAAGCAAACTTGTCAACATTTAGATAACTGGCTGTGTATTCCTTGTCTTCCGTTTCCTCCACACAGTTATATGTGTTAAAGCCAAACAACCCAACATAACAAATAAGAGGATCCAACGTAGAGTTTCCCACCAGCTAGAAAAAAAAATGAAATAATATTTTTTTATTCTACATAACAAATTAACATGCATTAGCTTGATGTTCACATACATCAAATATCACTTAATATCACTATCTATGTTTTAACAATATCTTAACAAAACTGCAGAACAGAATAATAATATTCCCAGGCTCTTACCACGTTTCACCTTCGGTAAGTATCAGTGATGAACTGCTCACTGTTCTCATTGGTGGGGTTATCACTGTGTAAAAGAGACAGATTGTACAAAGAATACAAACAAATGACAACTTGAATACCATCACATAGCTCTCATGAATAAATACTGAAAAACAGTTGCGTTGAAGGGATGCACAATAGTCTAAAACATAATTCCAATACAGTCGAAGGGATTTGCCAAGTGGGCTTTTATGCCTCCAAAAAACTTTGAAACATCAGAGGCTGCTTATGAAATTGTTTTAAAACCAACATTATTTTTTACAGCTAATATGACAAAGGACTGATTTTTGTCTCCAATAACAGAAAAAATGTTTAAAATTAACTTATTTTATATGTATCTTTTAAATCAGGGAAACAGTCAAATTGAACCAGTTTTTACTATCACTGCAGTTGATCTTCTAACGCAAAATAATCATTTTACTTCACCACAGTACTTTAAAGGAATCCAAAACAATATAGATGACAGATACGTTCACATAATCACTTAATCACTGATTTCAGAGTTTAAGGATGGAGTTTAAGTAGATAAGTGTAATGACCGTGAGCTGAATGACTCCAATGAAACTAACATGAAATACTTAAATATCATTGCTCAGATGATTTGAAGAGATCTATTTTAATGTGTCTTCTTCTGACTGGTTACCCATATAGTTTTCTGTGTTAGTGATAAAGTCAAATCAAAGCATAAAAAAAAGAAAAGATGGAAAAGGCACAAGAAGAATCGCTCTGTTCACTGTATGATGGTCAATAATCTGAAGTGACCCAGCTGAAGTATACCTGTGTTGGAGATGGAGACCCTCACAGATTTATAGATGTTTGTTCCACTTGTGGCGATGACACACCAATACACGTCTTCATCGCTTTGTGTAAGTTGAGTCATGGTTACAGTGAAGACTCCTGCTTCCTTGGTATCAGTAATGAAGATTCTGTCGTTGACACGATTTCTAGGCGTTTTCACTTCTATCTTACAGAAATAGTAGACAGGTCCTCTGCACCAGTACTTTGTGTGGTCTTTGAATCCAAAGCTGTACTGACACTGGATGGTCACCGATCCCCCAAACGTCCCCGATACCTCTTCAGGGGCCAACAGCTCCACTGAGTCCACTGTCTTCTTAGTTACCCAGAAGTGGATGAGCACCACTGCTGCAAAACACAGAAAGAGTTCTCACATTAGTCACACAGGAATTTGATTCTGTCTGTGTGATGTCAGAAAAAAGTTGCCCAGCTCAGGACCTGTTAATATTTTTTGACAACAATACCTTTGAATAAGATGAACAGTAACCCTGAGGTCTTCATTGCACAGCCGAAAAGAACAATGTGAGGCGGAAGTAATGTGCACAAGTAGGTGCTTCCTCTTTATGCAGTCCCTCAAAAGGAAGGAAACAGCTATTTTTTTGTCTTCTTAACTTTGGGGAATTGAAAAGAACTCTATGTTGGAATGATTCATGGTCTAGGATCAGTTCTCTCTAGCTTTGTTTCCTTGAAAATATAGTTGTGGGCTAAAGACTTTCCCCACACCATTTAGACATATTCCTTTATCATTTTCTTTATTCATAAAATTATTTATTTTCTTTTAAGTTAAAGTCATGATATGATGAGTCTTTCTCCGTACATTCTTCTATATTTTCCAATGAGATTAACTTTCCCATGTTGAAATACTTTGGAGCATCATTGGTTTGTAATCTGTGCTGCTGGGATAATTTGTCATTCTAATCCTGGCACTTTTGTGACAGCTCTTATGATTCGTAGCCATTGGACTGGGAAAGTTCTTTGCATATGGGACCAAAGCCCAAATAACAATAGCAAAAGAGCAAAAGATGAAAACTGTTCATGGCTGAATAGCTTAACCAAATTGCAAATTTAAAAAAGAACTGAACAGGAGCTCCCAAGACAAATTTGAACCCCTAAAAAAAACGAACTTAGGTGGCAAGAGGGAACTTAAAAAAATGAAACTTCAACAGCAGGTGGCAGTACAAAACAGGTTCTCACCTGCTGCAGTTAAGTAGAGTTGTTTTTCCACAGCTTATCAACCCTCCATTGCATGGTTTAATCAGACTTTGAAACATTTTCTAAATCTTTTGTAGATACGAATTGCTCTGGGATGAACAATATTATCTTTTTCTCCACAGCTTTACATCTATTATATT